CCTCCTTTTCCTGTGCCTCCCCAAGTGCAGTCCCCACTCTCCCGTGCATCCCGGCTCACGCACCGTGCTCTCCGGCCATGAACAGCTCGGCAGCGGGCTGGCAGACCGAGGCAGTGCTCATCCCGCTCGCGTACCTCCTCATCTTCCTCATCGGCTCCGTGGGCAACTGCCTGGTCCTGGCCGTGCTGCTGCGCAACGGGCAAGTGAAGAACACCACCAACCTCTTCATCCTCAACCTGGGGATGGCCGATCTCTGCTTCATCCTCCTCTGTGTCCCCTTCCAAGCCACCATCTACATGCTGGAAGGGTGGGTGTTTGGGCCCTTCATGTGCAAGGCTGTCCACTTCTTCATTTTCCTCACCATGTACGCCAGCAGCTTCACCCTGGCCACCATCTCCCTTGACAGGTAGGAAAGGGGCTGGGGGGGGGGGCTCCCTGTAGCCTAAGGCTCCCCCTTCTCTAGATCCCCCCAGGCAGAAGAAGGGAAAGAATCCCCTGGAGCCAAGCTGTTACCTCCCAGGGGAATCCAGAAGCGTTTCCCAGTTCACAAGTACAAGGAAATGCAAGCACTGAGGATGGGATCCAGCAGAGCGGGTGGCACTGGGACCCCTGTCCCCAGCTGAAGGAAGCTTTCAGACCCTGAAGCTGTAGGACTGGGGTTTATCCACAGGCTCTGACAGCTGAAGGGTGGATAGAAAACCAGAGAGAAACAAAGCTCAGTCCCTGCACAGCCCTGGGAGAGATCCTCAACCCTCCCAACAGCCCACATCAAAGCAGGCAAACCTCAAGGAGGAAAAGACATTGAGATACTGGAGCTTGACACTGCTTTTGCTAGTAAAAGGGGAGGGTGGGGAAAAGCTCTTTTCTGTCCCAGTGCTGTCCCTGGTCCCAGGGACTGTCCCAGCCTGGCTCAGGGTGGGTTTTAGCCTGGAAGCTCTACACAGGGCAACCTGGGGCTCCTGCCTGTGCTTCAGCTCACACCACCTCACCTCTGTAGGAGCCAGTGAGTTACTAATCCACAGCAAGTGAGAGGCAGGGAGCTCTTCGTGCTGCTCCATCAGTGCCTGAAACCTGCATGATGGCACGTGGAAGCTCCCCATGAAAACCCCCTGGGAAGGGCCATGGCAGCCCCAGAGCAGGGCTGGGTGGGTCCTGCCATCCCAGCTTGGCACCATGCTGGCTCCCAGGACAGCACCCCCAAAACACAGCCAGGGGCTGATCTCATCCTACAGCCCACAGAGAGAAGAGAACAGAGGTGTCAAGCAATGGGGGCTTGCATGAGCCCCCTGCTCTGTGTGTAATTAAGGAACCAGCTAATTGCAGGATTGAAGATGGACGATGTGCTTTAGCATGTGCCAGCCTGAGGAACACCGTATCTGGGGATCATGGGGGCTTGCTCCTGCCTTCATATCCTCACTGCTGCTATCACTTGTGCCAGACAGGCTGATGATTGAGTGAGGATCTGCTGGAGTAGGGAGAGGGACAGAAGGGGTCCATCCCCATCCTCTCCACAAAGGAGCAGAGAGGGTGACAGGACAGGGTTGGGGGAAGAGGATCTTCCTTATCCCACTGTGCTGCACAGGGATCCTGAGGAGCCCCAGGGATGAGCTGTGTGACTGATTGCCCTGCAAAGCTCAAATCCATCACATGTGCCCTTTCTCCAATCCACTCCTAGAGCAGCTCCCCATGCCCTCCCCAGGACTACAGTTGTGTCCCTCTCCCTTTCCCCTGCAGATACTTGGCCATCCGCTACCCCCTGCACTCAAGGGAGCTGAGGACACCCAGGAACGCCCTCACAGCCATCTGCTTCATCTGGGGGCTTTCCTTCATCTTCTCAGGCCCTTACCTCAGCTACTACCAGGAGTTCCAGCTGGCCAACCTGACTGTCTGCCACCCCATCTGGGAGATCTCCCAGCGCAAGGTCATGGACATCTGCACCTTCATCTTCAGCTACATCATCCCAGTGCTGATCCTGAGTCTCATGTGTGTGCGGACTATTCACTACCTGTGGAGATCTGTGGACCCTCTCCAAGATGTGTCGGAGTCCAAGAAAGCCAAGCGGAAGGTCACCAGGATGATTATCATTGTAGCTGTCCTGTTCTGCCTCTGTTGGCTGCCCCATCACCTGCTTATCCTCTGCATCTGGTTTGGGTACTTCCCCCTCAGTCACGCCACATACGTGCTCCGCATCCTCTCGCATCTCATCTCTTACGCCAACTCCTGCGTGAACCCCATTGTCTACGCCCTGGTCTCCAAACACTTCCGCAAGGGCTTCAAGAAGATCTTCATCTGCCTCCTGCACCAGAAGGCTACCCACAAGGTGCACGTGGCCCAAGTGACAAACACGGTCAGCACGTTGGAGGCAGAGCTCAGTAAGGTGACCCACGTCGGCCGCTCCTCCCTGCTCTGCGCGGGCCCAGCCCAGTGGGAAAGCAGAGCTGGTGGGACAGCACCAGGAAGCTGATGGCTCCTTCATCACCTTCAGCATCATCTAACAGAGCTTCTTCCCACCCCATGGCTTTGCGGTGTCCTGCAGCATCGTAGGCCTGGGGATGGGCTGTGTTTTGGGTTGAAATGCATCAAAACATACCCTTTTTCATTCAAATGCAGCCAGATACCATAAATGTTGAACTGATACTGCTGACTACAGACTCAGCCAAGCAACCAACCAGGGATCCAAGGGCAGGATTTGCTTCCACCATGCATTTGCTGAGAGCAGAGAGATCAAACTCTCATGAGCCTCATGTGTTCCTCTGTCATGGATGGAGTTACACCCTATTGCAGCTACACATGGAGCCTATTGAAAGCTCTGCTCCCTCTAACCAACACAGCTTCTGGCTGGGTACACTTTTAGGGACATTTGGGAAGTCTTGGTTCATTTGTGTCTCAGTTCAGCAGCTGAGTCCCAGGGAACCACTGGCCACAGCCACATGGGCAAAAAAACTGGCTCAGGTAGGAAAATTCAGGAGAGAAGCATAGAAATCAGGACGGAAACCTTTGTGGTGCAGCCAGTGCTGGCTGAGCTGTCACAGCTCCCTGGGGCTTGTGGCTTGGACAAGTTTCCCCATGGCTGGAAGCTGGAACATGTATCCATAGCCCAAGTACAGAGTCCAAGAGCACAGGGCACCACCACACTGTGCTGCTGCTGCCCATGGCTCATCCTGGCCATTTCAGTGCATGCAAGGCTCTACCTCTGCAGCCCATCGAGAGGCCACCAAGGATCGGTGAGGTGGGAGGCTGCTTGTTGGGGAAGCACAGCTGTGACTCCATGGGGGAGGTTGTGCTGCCAGGGGAAGGGGAGCAGGACATCAATGGGTCAGTGCCGCTTTCAGCCAGCTTGGGTATGGCTCAGCATTGCAGACCCAGCAAGGTGCTTGTGGAGGAGAGAAAAGCTTTCCTGTGGCCATGGTGTGGGGCTGGACAACTGGGGCTGTGGGGGGGACCCCAGGCAGCCAGGGAAGCCTCAATAAAGCCCTTCATCCCACATGCCATGTCCAGCTCCATTGAAACACCCCATTGAAACACAGTCTGCAGCAGAGGAGAGGCAGATGCTGGAAGGGTGGTGGGGCTCACTGGCCCCACGGGTGATGGAGGGGGGCGTGGAGGATGGGGGTGGAGCTCAACCAGCTCCAACCCCCTGCCACACGCAGGGACACCTTCTACTAGAGCAGGTTGCTCCAAGCCCCTGTGTCCAACCTGGCCTTGAACACTGCCAGGGATGGGGCAGCCACAGCTTCTCTGGGCACCCTGTGCCAGCACCTCAGCACCCTCACAGGGAAGAGCTTCTGCCTCAGAGCTCATCTCAATCTCCCCTCTGACAGGTTCAAGCCATTCCCCTTGTCCTGTCCCCACAGGCCCTTGTCCAAAGCCCCTCTTCAGGTTTCCTGGAGCCCCTTTAGGCACTGGAGCTGCTCTAAGGTCTCCTGTTCAGAAGCCTTCTCTTCTCCAGCTGACCCAGCCCAGCTCTCTCAGCCTGGCTCCAGAGCAGAGCTGCTCCAGCCCTCGCAGCAGCTCCGGGGCCTCCTCTGGCCTCACTCCAACAGCTCCATATCCCTCTTGTGTTGTTGCCCCAGAGCTGGACCAGGACTGCAGGGGGGTCTCCCCAGAGCGCATCAGAAGGGGAAAATCCCCTCCATGACCTGCTGCTCACTCTCTGGGGGTGCAGCCCAGGACACAGACACAATCTCCTCCACACCCATCCCCAGCACTTGGCCTTTCTCCCCAGGAAGCTTTTGCCTTTAAAACATTTGTTTTCCCCCACTGAGTGTTATCATAACCAGATCTTCCTGTCCCCATGCAAAGGGCCATAAATCAGCCACTACCTCATATCAATAACCACAATATTTAGTCTAGACCTGCTCACAGCATAAGTCACCGAGAGCAAGCACATAAACAGCTCCATTACTTACATCTGCATTTATCTCCCCTGCTCAACCCTTCCCAGCCAGGGCAAACACTGAATCAGGCACTCAGACACAGCTAACAGCTCATCTTCCTCCTGCCCTCACCCACTTCTGCTTGGAGAGTGATGGATCCCTCCCCAACCCTCTCCTTGACACAGTTCCCACCTCACCTTGAGGACGAAGACATTGTTCCACCACCCCTGCACTGCCCAAGGACAGGGGTCCCTGTGCTGGCATGGTGGGGGGTGCAACATCCCCCATCTGCTCAATGCCATCACAGAGGAGACACTGACCCTGCTCCTCTCCTTGCCCTCCCTGAACATATTTTCCTATCACACCTGGCTGCACCCACACATCTCAACCTGAGTTTCTATGCTGCAGGGCATATAATCATAAAATCCCAGACTGGTTTGGGTTGGAAGGGACCTTAAAGCTCCTCCAGTTCCAACTCCTGCCATGGGCAGGGACACCTTCCACTAGAGCAGGTTGCTCCAGGGCCCCGTGTCCAACCTGGCCTTGAACACTGCCAGGGATGGGGCAGCCACAGCTTCTCTGGGCACCCTGTGCCAGCCCCTCAGCACCCTCACAGGGAAGAACTTCTTCCTTATATCCAACCTGAACTTCCCCTGTTTCAGTTTGAACCAATCACCCCTTGTCCTATCACTACAGTCGCTGATGAAGGTCCCTCTCCAGCATCCTTGTAGCCCCCTTCAGACCCAGAAGCTGCTCTGAGGTCTCCACGCAGCTTCTCTTCTCCAGGCTGAACAGCCCCAATGTTCTCAGCCTGTTAACACATCCCAGTGCCAGTGCTGCAGCCACCCCCAGGAAGCTCCCCAGGGTCAGTGCTTGCTTCCAAGCCCAGGCTGTTCCCCTTCATGCAGGGCTGAGTTCCCCAAAAGGACAGGAGTTGTTCCCGAGTTCATCTTTTTATAGCATTCACAGGAAAATCAAACCCAGCTTACAGTCGTAGGAGCCAGCCAGCAAACCCCAACCCACACACTGTGACCCCAACAAAGGGCTCCAAATCCACCCAGAAAGTGAGTCTTTGCACTGAACCCTGCAGGGGAAGGAACCAGGCTGGTAGCAGTGTCCCATCTCACTGTGGGGTGAGAGATAGGGTGTCAGGGGGAAGGCTTGAGAAGAGAAACAACCCCCTGGGGTTGCTGCTGCTTTTGCAACCGATGCTCACCATGACCCAGCACACAGCACCTGGTACCAGGGGACCTACAGGGAGTAGGGCCAGGCAGAGGGGCCTGGCTGCTCCCCCAACTCCTCACCCAGCCCCAGGGAGGCTCCTCCTGCCACCCCTGAGACAGCCAGGGGAAAGCTGGGACCACACTGTGCCCTCTCAAACCCCCAGCACTGAGCTGTACCCAGCTCAGACAACTGGGCAGCAAAGGCAGGTCTCTGGGGACCCATTTCTTGCAGCCACATTGGATCCCTCAGCAGCAGCAGTGTGGCCACCATGAAACAGCTGGAGAAGAGGGAGATGATGCTGATGGTTGACTCTGACCCCGGGTGACAGCACTGAATCCCACAGTCCCAACCCTGGCTAAAGCAGGCTGGCAACAGCCAGCAGGAGAAATGTGCTGAATTACAGCGGATTCTGTAAACTCCGTTTGTTTTCCAACTGTTCTGGCATTGCATGAAAAAAAGAGGCCCAAAATAGCACTAGCAGCTTAGAGCTGTGACCATCAGCAGAAGGAGAAAAGGAGACAGGTCACCTCTTCAAAACAGCTCATCAAAACCACACACACTGCAGCAGCAGTACCTGGACACTGGGAAAATGTGCAAAGGACAAATAACTGTGTATGAACAAACCAGCACCTTCACAACAGCCTGCCCATGGTGCCTCCTGCCCTACATCACACAGGACCCATGTCCTGCATCATCCCAGGGGACACCCAGCCCTGGGCATCCTCCTAAGCACACCAGTGTGCATCCACCACTGTACCCCACATCTGCAAGCAGCTGCCCAAGCAAAGCGAGAGGGCAAAATGAGAAGGAAGCAATGGGATAATGAAGTAGAACCTTTGCCGGAGTTTGGTGGAGCTGGTCCCCCGAAAGAGAACTTCAGGAACCATCTTTTAGCTGGAGAGATGCAAAAGCAACACTGTGATGCTGCAGTTCACCACACCAAATCCATAGGAACGTGCATGTGGACAGGCAAAAAGCCCAGCAAAGGATGAACAAGCAATTGGTTTTTAAGCATTGCAAGGAATAGTTCTGTGAGAACAAGGAGACTCCCAACAAATCCACTAATGACACTGAACACAACATCCCCCAACACTGACTTCACTGAGTTGTTGCCTGCCTGGCTCCTTCCCACTAGTACATCCCAGGACGGGCACTAACGGAGCTGGGAGCTGCGCTCCAAACAGAGGGCAAGACATTGAGGTCAGTAAGGCAGAGCCAGGGAGGACGTTGCTGCCCTCCACCCACAGACATTTCCCCATGTGCTGCTTGTGCCAGAGCTCAGCAGAGTCCAGGCACCAAACGGTGACGTATTAAGAGTCTTCCAGTGCCTAAAGGGGCCAACAAGAAATGTGGAGAGGAGCTTTGGACAAGAGCCTGTAGGGACAGGACAAGGGGGAATGGCTTTAACCTGCCAGAGGGGAGATTGAGATGAGCTCTGAGGCAGAAGCTCTTCCCCGTGAGGGTGCTCAGGCGCTGGCACAGGGTGCCCAGAGAAGCTGTGGCTGCCCCATCCCTGGCAGTGTTCAAGGCCAGGCTGGACACAGGGGCTTGGAGCAACCTGCTGTAGTGGAAGGTGTCCCTGCCCGTGGCAGGGGGTTGGAACTGGATGAACTTTAAGGTCCCTCCAAAGCCAAACCATTTTGTGATTCTATAAAGAGAACAGTAGAAAACCAACATGCGAAGGAAGGAGATGGAGCCCTTCCCTCCTCTGTTAACAGCTCTAGAGCTGCCTGGCCACACCTGTGACCACTTTGAGGACACATCCCAGGACACCCCTAACTCAGCTCCCAGCCAAAAGTGCCACTGCATCCCCTTTTACCTTGGCACCGGCTCGTTTCTGGTCACTCTTCAGCAGCACCAGAGTGTGACATGGGGCTGGGGCAGGCTCTGCCTGGGGGATGCACCTCACTCCTGCCTCCTGCTCCCCAAATGCCCCCAACACACCCCACGCTGCTCTCACCCTCACAAAGGAGCAGAAGGGGGCTCCGTGATGGTTGTTCAGCAAAGGCTGGGCTTTCACAGGTCTCTGCAGTGTGGCACATGCAACTAGTCTCCTTGTTTTATGGATCCTCACCCATCCATCGGTACTTACTTGAGTAGGCATAGAGAAGCCTGGATCAGCTGCTGAATCATTACAAGATACTACAGAAATAGAAGCAAAACCCACCCTCCAGCTTATCTGCTATTGCTTCTCTTCATCTGAGGAGGAAGCCATCACCCTCCCCCACCCAACCCATGCCTTGAGAAGCCCTTCAAGGGCAAGCACAAGATATTGCTGCCAACACAAAACCACCATGGTAAGTGACTGTTCCCCTGAATAACACCACACCGGATGGAAGAGACAAAAGAGACAAGAGCATCATGACCTGCCACCTCCCAGCTGAGCAGGGGGAGGCTCCTGGTCCATTTCCTTGGGAGGTTTTATCTTAAATGACACTGGAAGTCCCTTTGTTCCAGTTAAAGCTTAATAAATTCAGATCCAACTGGAGGTGGAACATAAATTGGCTGAACTCAGCTCCCATCACATCCAGCCGTGGGCAAGGAGCTGAGGGGCATCTGGCTGCAGCCTCAGGTTAATCTGAGCTTTCCAGCACGTGCATTTAGCGCTGGGTTGAAGCAGCTGGTTTTGTCTGGGGTTTTGTCCTGTTTTCAAACACTTCCTCTGACAAATTTGCTTCCTGGTCTGATAAGCAGCCAAAGGGGGTTTGGGGCTAAAGCTTTTGAGCCTCCCAACCTCATCTGCTATACCAGGCTGCAAACTGCACCCACAGCAGCCCTGGGGGGCTGCAGGGACCCCAGAGCTGGTCACTGTCCCTGCAGGGTTCGAAAAACCCCTTTTGCTTCCCCAGAATAACAGTCAGTGGAAGTCACAGGAGCAGGTAACACAGCAGACCCTGCACATCCCCACAGCATGGCCCACTGCAGGATAAACCAAGACAAAACAGAGAACTGGGGCTCCAGCTCCAAAACCATCAGCTGAGAAAACCCACCAGAGACAGAAATCAGTCCCAAAACCCTGGGAATCAGAGACATGTCCCCAGCCTATTCCAGTCTGTCAGGGATTCACCATCAGCCAGAGCAGTGCAGGAGGCAAGGAGAAATGGAATTCTGCAGGAGCCCTGGAGGAAGCCAACGGGAAGGCAGAGGGAGCTCAGCCCCCAGTCGGGCCCATGGTCTCAGCTCCTCCAGGGGTGTGAGGTGCTCAGCTGTGTCAGGTCGGTGCTGGCTGCCACAGTGTCTCTGATGAGGATGCTCCAACATTCCTTACTATAAAAAGCCAAGGAGCACATAGAGCCACTCCCCAGCACTGCGCCGTGTTGGGTGAGATTCAGACACTTGAGGTCAGCCCAGGAAGTGGGAGGACACACAAGGGGCTCCCCTGCTCCCACTCCATGGAAGGGCAGGTCTGGCTGAAGCATGCTGCTGCTCCTCAGCAGCTCTGTGTGCTGCAGTGGGCACTGGACGAGGCTGAGATCCTATCCACCTCCCCATGGCCACTTCCTGTGCAGGGGAGAGGCAGGCGGTGTGGGAACAGCTACTGGGAGTCTGGATTTAGGAAATAGGGACCAGGTGGCTCTGCCTTCCCTTAAGCTCAGGGAGAACAAGGGTCTTGGGCTCCCACCTAAGAGCCATACACCTGGGAGCAGCAGAAGCTGCCTCTTCCCCTGGGTACTCACCACCTCCAGCTCCTCCTTGCTGCACGGCTACCACCAAGCTAGGGCTCAGCAGCCTCTTTACCCCTTTTCCTTCCTCCAGATGTGGACAGGGCATCCCTGGGGTAGGAAACAACCCAGCCAGCTTCTGGTGCTGGTAATGGAGAGACCAGGACAGGGGGGCGGGACATTTTGCATCTGACTGTATCTCCCCACCTCTGAGCTGAGCTGGACCAGCTCCTCACAGCCCCGGACCAGTCTAGCTTTCCCATGGGCACAAGCTGATAGCGGAGCCCAGAAATGCCTCTTTCAGTATAGACCATGCAGAGGTGTTCCCAGAGCCTCTGGAGGATGGGATGTGGCCCCATAGCAATCCATAAAGGGTCCTATCCGTCTTCTTTGGGGCCTGGTGAGCACAAGAACATCAGCACAGGGAGGATACCAGCTCCTGTACACTAAAGCTCAGATGCTCCAGAAGTCACAGAACCCCAGACTGGTTTGGGTGGAAGGGACCTTAAAGCTCATCCAGAAAGATGAAACCCAGCTCCTTCTGGTCAATGTCAGCATGTGGATACAGAAGGCTTGACACTGCACATCATGTAAGCCAGCAGCACTTTGCTTATGCTTAAAACCACTCTGTCCAGTGCCTGCCAGCCTGCAGAGGCTCTTGGAGCTGGCAGAGCCAACAGCTAGCAATGAAGCCTCAGCCTTCCTCAAGCAGATGAGCTCTGAAAGCAGGAGGGAAGGTCCCCGCAGGGAGCTGTGAGCCTGCACAGCCAGACCCATGAAAAACAGCCAGGTAGGGACAATCAGGATTTGAACCATGCAGTGGTCCAGCTGCAGCTGGACAAGCCAGGGACAGCCACAGCTTCTCTGGGCACCCTGTACCAGTGCCTCAGCACCTTCAAAGGGAAGAACTTCTTCCTTATATCTAATCTGAACTTCCCCAGTTTCAGTTTGAACCCATAGCCCCATGTCCTGTCGCTACAGTCCCTGATGGAAGTTCCCTCTCCAGCATCCTTGTAGTCCCCTTCAGACACTGGAAGCTGCTCTGAGGTCTCCACGCAGCTTCTCTTCTCCAGCTGAACAGCCCCAGCTTTCTTAGCCTGTCTTATATGGCAGAGACCAGCTCTCAGGGCCCTGTCATGACTCCCACCACCTCACACAGGACAGCTGCTACTGGGACAGCTCATGAAACACTGAGGGAAACAAAGCCTGCCAGGCACAGCCACAGCACAGACTCAACATCTCACCCTGTCACTGAACTAAGAACAGTTAACAGTGTGAAAATCCTTTGGGATTCCTATAGAATCAAGATTCCCCAAACCTATCAGGGAAGCAGGAAGCACCACTTGGAGTTTAATGCCTTCTGCCCTTAACAGAAGGGCTGTACTCATGAGTGCGTGATCTTTTGTTTTGCCTTTTTTAACACTCACGTCTGCTGCACATCAAAGCATTAACACTTACATCCAGGCCTGAAGATGCATCAATATAAGAGCCCACACAGCAGCCTTTGCTCCAGATCCATGGAAGAAGGGAAAGGCAGCCAGGAGGGAGTGCTTCCACAGGTTTATAAATCTGATAAATACAAGTATAACACCCTGCCCACCACAACGGGGCAGGGGGGGAGCAAAGGGAGTCCCAAAGGTCACCAAGAGTGTGCTGACTTGTATAATGACAGCTAGAGATTCATGCTGAGGTGTCAAACAGCTTCTCAATCATCTCCCCAACCTGGTCAACCTGGTATTTGATGTACTTCTCAGGGTTCTTGGTGAAGGGCACATTGCCATATCTGCAAAGGAAGACAACCCCTAGGTGACAAATGGAACACAGCAAAGAGACCCACTGCTGCCGCCTCTGCCACAAACCAGCTCCAAACCCACACATCCCACTGACAGGGTATCTTGTAGGGAGCAAGTGACCTGGTTACGATGAGTCTCCTGAGTTTTACACGAGTAGCTCAGGGAGGGTCAGAGCTTTGTGCTGGCTACAACATCTGCATTCACCCTGACCAAGGAATCAGGCTGGCAGCAGATGCTGGCCACCAGCAGAGTTTGGCTTGGGGATATTTTAGTAGGGAAGCTAAGACAGGGCAACAGAAAAGTGCCTCAGCTCAGGCTACTCTAGGGCCCAAAGACCTCCTTAAATCCAGAGAAGAGAGGACAATGCTGCAATGTTGTCACCTGTTCAAGAAGGCACCATAGGTCTCTTTCACAATGGTTTTCTGTGCCCGGCGGATTTTGTCCCGTTGCTCCATGTCTGGAATTGCCCAGGCCTTCTGGATCTTACACAGCTCCTCCAGCCCATCATTGAATCCCTGTCCAAAGTGAAACTCAGTGAGTGTCCAGCCTGCAATCCCATCTCCATACTGAGTCTGATGCTCCTCCCCTCCACTGAGAGGTCTCCTCTTCAGGCAGATCTCTGGTCTGACTGCCTGTCCTCCCATCACCAAGGGATGTTCTTAGGCCATCTAATACCCTCTCACCTTAAAGCGCTCCTTTATCATCTGCCTCTCCTTATCCTTGAGCTGCAACAAGGAGGGAAAAGATTTTGTTATATCTCCAGAAGTAAATTTCCAACACCAGTGTTTGCCCACAAGTCGTCATCCAACCTAAGCAATACCCTACTTGGCTTGAATTCCCTCTCCTAAAGCACGGAGGAAAGAAAGCTGCAGTGAGCAGCACACTCTACAGTCAGCAACTGGCTTTCATCTGAAGCAGGTTTGAAAACGGTAATTTTCAGCTAGAATTGACATAAAACTAGATTTCTTTATGCTCCCAGCCCTTTCTAAGGGAAGGTCTCAGGGTTTTACAGATCTGAAATAGAAGCAATTGTTCAGGTAGAAATATAAGAATGGAGGCAGAGATTAGAAGACCTGTATGAACCTGGGGCAGGAGAGACCAGAAGGCCGTGCTGCTCTCCATCTTATTCGAGGCACAGTATTGACTGTGCAGCGCAATACTGGCATGAGATACAAAGAAAGTTTCTGGGAATTTTTTCATATGACAAAGGAGAAGATGTTTCCAGTCATTTCTATCATATCAATCCCCTCCTTGCCCATCCTCTCACCTTCACTCCTGGTTGAAATACAGGCAGGTTTCTCTCTAAGATGTAATCTGTCACCTTCAGCCAGCTGTATGTAAAATGAGATAGGAAAGAAGCAAAGACAAGTCACTCCTGCCTCACCAGAACATCTACGTCTTTGCCCATGACCCAAAGGCCACCCCTGACAATACACACCCCAAAGCTTCCTACAGTGACCCCTTCCCAAGTTAGATCCATTGCCTGGAAACCAAAATACCTGGCTTTGGGTTTAGACAAGTTTCAGGCTAATCTCTCCCACTACTCCAGCAGCATTAGCTCCCAAGGAGCTGCAAACTAAGCAAACTAAGGGGAGAGCAGAGGATGTGACCGACCTGCGCTGGTAGGTCTGGATCTGCTGCTCAATGAGCTCCCGGTAAGACCTCTCAGCTGTCTTCTGTGTTACAGCTACCAACTGGATCAGCTCAGACCTGAAAGGACACAACACTTGAGGAAACACCTGAGGCAGCTGCTCTCAGGGCTGCATTTCAACCATCTATCAACAAGTTTTCTGCCCTTTACAATAAAAGGGACCTTGAAATGCACTAACTGGGAGACAGAAGTTACTTTCCAAAGCTAGGCCCTCAGTCCTCCCGAGACCAGAGGGTTCTCTACAAGCTAAGGTGTCTCTGATGCTTTTATCTTCCACTCTTGTGTAATGTGATGCTTAGCATAGTGCAATGCTTTCAAAAGGGCACTTTAAGAATGGAAGAAAGAGCAGAGATGAGACAGGCTGGCAAGGAAACGCATTTGATGCAGAGCTCTGCTCCAAAACCACGCTTAGAATCAGCCTGGACTTCAGGGAGATTTACCCAGATCCACACTTACTTCTCCAGAGATTTCAGAATGTAGTTGTAGTTGTTGTGCAGGAAAATGGCACTCAAAGCTGGGTCTTCATAAACCTTGGATTTACTGAGAAGGTTAAGCTGCAAGTTGCCCAGCACTTTGCCTTAAAGAGGGAAAAACAGAACAAAAAAGTTTTGCTTTGAAACTTCTCCTTACTGGCAATCCAAACTGTACTGTCACTGTGGGCCCCCAGCAAGGTGAACAGCACAGCCCCAACTGCACATGCAGGCAAGGGGACAATCCTATGAGCCTTACACAGGTCTTTCCTCAGGGAGCCACCAAAACCTCTCTGCAAACTAGTGCCTTTGTTGCAACTGGCAATACTTGTGTTCTGGGTTCAGAGCAAGTCCCAGGACTTAGGTGGGATCAGACACAGCCTGACCATGATGCAGGCTCTGATTTCAAAGAAGCCAAAGGACATGATCCCCACTGTAACAGATCATTATAAGGTAGTACCATGAGTTCATCTCACTATCTTACTGTTAAACCCAGGATGGAAGTTTTACAGAGCCCATCTGGCAGCTGGGAGCCTCTGTGGGGTTGAAGGTGCAAAGTACCGGCTGAGAATGGTTTGAGGCAGCTGATGACAAAAGCTCTGCAGCACAGTGAGCTACTGCTCTGTGCTTTGTCCTGTCTAACTGTAACAGCCTGAAACTCCCAGTTTGACCCTTTTTTCCCCAGCCCTCCCATCAGACTCCAGCTCAAACGTGGAAAGAGCACACAGTGTTAAGAGACACAGCCTGCGCTCTTCACCCAAGCACAAAGGACAGGCCATGGGGCAGAACTGGGAAGCTGTGCAGCGTACTCACAGATGTAGGTGCTCAGCAGCCGCCTACTGAACTCTGAGCTGTAACTACTAGCTGAAGAGCTGGTCTCTGAAAAGAAAAGAGTTTCAGGCCAGTTATCACGCCATGGGAAGGGGGTATGTGTGGTCAGCCTGCCTCTAATCAAATAAGTTTCATCCCTGTTGCTATGGAATGAGTGGAGAGCTCCCATCACCAGTGGGAAGCTTCCTGCTTCAGTGCTGATTATCCAGGGCAAGGCTGGAAGAGCTCTGCACTTCTCACCCCTTCTGTCTGCATCAAGTGCTGAGCACCCCCACAGAAACCTCTCCTTTCCTTCCTGGTACTCAGAGGATATCATCCTCTTGATCAGAAATAGAGTCATTGAGCACATCATCCCCATTCTTCCCCCACCACCTGGAAAGGCTTTGTAAGCACTAGAAACAGGCAATCGGAGCACAATCGAGCTGGAGCTGTTCACAGAAGGCACACAACAGGAACTGGAACAGGCACAAGGGCTCTGGGAAGTTTCAGCCATCCCCATGGTTGCTGACAGGGCTGCTGTAAGAGGCTGCACCAGCATGGGAGCCTGCCCTTATAAGCAAAAGCAATGACTCTGGGCTGGCACATGTCCCTCTGTTTGTGCATAAGAGATGGCTTTCTGCCCTCAGTTGCTCATGAGGCACGTGGTGTAACTATCGCCTCCTCCCCCACCAGAGATTTTGGCAGCCAGGCCCAGCTGGGGTGGTCTGAGTTCATCAGACCCCATGGGAAAGGCCTCGAAGCTCCGGTTGCTGGGAGTTGGACAATAAGAAACCGAATGCACATGGGATAAAGCATGATCCCAGCTGGGCCAATTTGCACCCATGCCAAAGGGATTCAGTGCCATGAGAGTGTCTTTAGCCTGTTGCAGCTCATGTGGCATCCCTCATTGTCTGCTAGTGACAAGCCCTCCCTATTCTTTCCAGCCGTGGCAAGAGTTACTTACTCGCCCCTTTTTCCTTTTCAGTTACATGCTCATTTATTTACCACACCTGGAGGATAAAGCATTAACATACATCACCAGCATCCAAGGCAATGGGAACGGGTAGGTGGGGGTAAGTCTGCTTACCTCTAGGATCTAAAGGAATATTGTATGTGTCCCCAAGAACTAAAGATTAGGCAGAGCAGAGAGAAAAGGGGAGGGTGGAGAGAGAAAAAGAAAGGCAAAGTGCAAAAAGACAGGTTAGAGACCAGCATCTCTTGGAGAACAAAGCAGATATTAACACAGAGCAGCCACAGACAGCTACATAGGAAAGCAGGCAGGACAGAGTGAAGCCTTGAAGGCAAGTCACCATCCCAAAGCTTCTGATCCAGAAGCAACTCCCTCCAACTTCACTGACATCACCTCTGATAAGATGATGGTTGGTGAAGGGTGACATGAGGTCCACAGCCAGACAGGGACCATGAATTCACCAAGAATCAGTAACCAGTGTCACTCAAAATGAGAACAGTTCTGGCCTGTATGGTGGTGCCCTGTGTCGGGCATAGCTTTGGAGCCAGTGACAGCACTGCTTCTGCAGGAGACCACCACTGACAGCAGATGGTCCCCAAGGCCTGGCTGCAGCCAGAGACAACACCACTGACAGCACATGGACCGTGGGTCACCTCCTGCGTGGCTCTGAGCTCCTGCACATCAGCCCAAGTTACCAGAGCTGCTACAATTACACTGACTTCAAGCTTTAATAATTGAACAGACTGCAAAGCTGTGTGTCTCACTGTCTTTATACAGCAACATCCCTCTATACCTGATGTGATGGGACAGCCACAACTCAAAAGGAAATGGCTTGTGTGTCACATTTTGTTATATGACCAATCTAGAGAATAAAAAAGCCTATTGTACCTTTTGAATCAGCTCCTCTGACAGATCTCTAGTGCATGCAACATGTCAAGGCTTTCAAATAACAGTGCTGACATCACCACTCAGAGAAGGACATGGGTAACAGCTGGTTTCTCCAGAAAAAAAAAAACAGGTCACCTCTTTGGGTAAGGAGAGAAAGTCAAGTAGGCTCTGAGCACACTAAAGCTTACAAGTGCAGAGGGCACAACGCAGGGGCTACAGGAGATGTGGCAAGAAGCAGACACATTCCAGCTTGAGTTAATTTAGAACTGGCAGAATCTTCCAAGCAGGAATTGCAGATACTAGTCTGGCGGCAGCTGTAAGCTTCCCCCTTCCCCTGCTCCTAATGGGCTCCCTAGCACCTTCCAAATACCAGGTTGTGGCCTGTGCCTCCTCAGGCCTCTGTGCCTCCAAAGTCTCCAGTTCTCCACCTCTCCAGCTGCTCTATTACAAGGGAAACATGAAAACATGAGCTCTGCCTAGGCCAAGGGCTCATCAAGGAGCTGCCTCTCTGCACAGAACACAGACTCATGCTCTAGCTGATAAGCAGCAGCACCCCGTTCCATGAGGCAGCTGCTCTCAGCTTCTGATCCATGTATTTCTTTCTGGAATTAAGTCTCTTTAGCATCCTGGAAAGCAGAACTAAAACTCATCTCTCCTCTAGGGCACAAGGCAGACACATAGCTCAGGAGTTCCAGCTTGTCCATGCTAGATTCCAAGGAGAATATTCTTGCTGCTGCTGTTACACTCTGATCTGAGGATGTAGCAGGGAAAAGTGCAATTCATCAATGCAGTTAAAGCCAGCTCAGCTGGTCCATTCACCCTCACTCCACTACAGCCACAGAGAATCAGCCCACTGCCAGATTTGTAGCTAAATGACTAAGGCATCCTCTCTTGATGGAGTACATCAGCAATAAACACCATCCCAAGAGTCCTGATAGCAGCAAGTGTGGAAGGAGACTCTCTGCATCCCTTAGAGTTCTCCAGATAACCATCTACACGGTCATGGCACATCAGAGGACAAGACAAACCACAGGGTGAAGGACAGGAGGAGAACAAGCTCACAGACACGATGAAGTATGAGCTTTTTAGGGAAGATGTCCAGACAATCTGGGGAAGGAACTGCATGCCCAAACAAGCCCCATGCATGTATGTACCTTGTGATGCCAGCATGGCACCCGCTGTCTCCTGGAAATCCAACAATTGCTGGAGGAAAAGGATGGCCTGGAAGCAAGGGAGGGGAGTTATGAACAACCAGCACTGCATCTCCTATTAAATGCTCTGCCATTAAGGATCATGAAAGACCACTTGTCCCCCACACTTAAAAGCCTTTAAGAAACAAACCACTACATTGCTTTGAGTTGTTGGGTTTTACCCACATCATGGCTCAACCAGCAACTGGCTGATCTCTCCATGGAAACCAGTTCATTGCCCTTACAAGACAGTTTAACTTCAGAAATTTCCCTACTGCTCTTTCTAAAACATCATCAGAAGTTGTTTTTCACACAGGAGGGTTCAAACCATCATCACGTACATTGCTGGTGAGTTCATGAACTGTCCCATCTTTTGGCATGTTATATTCCTTGTCTGGATCATTCTAAGAAAAGAAGAGAGACACAGGGTAAGTATGTAAGGAAATCGAGGGCCTCTCCAATACAACTGCTGCAAGTGAGCTGCAGGCTTGTCTATCCAGCCTCTCTTGACACCCTCAGAGCTGGCTCTCACAGTGCCATCTCCTGATGCTCAGAAACCACAGCTCCTATGCACCAGCAGCTCAGAACCACAGGGGTTCGGGCAGCATGTGACCATCAAGTGTTCAGCTCATCTACCAGGCAGTGTGCTCACCAAACCCACCTTACACAGGGACAGTTTAACATGAGTACCCCAAAATTAAGTCAGCAGTTTTAGTTTCTTCTTAAATAGGATTAATTCTGAGAGTAACTTGACATCTGCATCTGGAAACTCAAGTCAAATTATTTGTAGTATCCCTGTAAGGGGTCTTAAGCAGAGACCTTCTGTGTTTGAAATCAGCACCAAGCATTTGGTATTTGCAGCTGATCCAGCAAGCACCTGCTTTAAACTCAGAAACTACAGGGTCTCATGGAAAGCTGAAAGCTAAAGTGGGGGTTCTGCACAGAAAACCCCTTTCCCAAGCCTGCTAGTCTTGCCAGAGGGAACACTGAGGAGAATCCTACCTTGATGTTGTCTGCAAACTCTTCCAATGCCTTCGCACCAGTGGTCTCCATGGAAGTGATCAGCCCTGGCAGTTTGTTCTTGGTGCCTGCTGCAGTTCCCTGCAATAGTTCCATCACAGATCAGAGAAGTTAAACAGCATCTGAACTGTCATCCAGCACGTACCCACCCTGATCCCCCAACCCCAGCATCTCATTCTCAATTCCTCATGTGCCAGGAGAACATTTACAGCAGTAGCAACACAATAACAAATGAAATCCTGCATCCTTCTGCCAGACAGAAGGGGAGGATGCTGTGACCCTAGTGGTGACCAGGACTTGCTACTTCTCATGTCTCCTCTTACACTGTACCTGATACAGGGGGTTGGTGCATCACAGTCACCAGCTGGAAGCAGATGGAAAGGAGCCTGGCTAAACCTAAATGCCATATTTGATACCTGGAGTACCTTTTGGCACAGTCCAAGCAGGCTCTCCTCAGAGCAGCCCATCTTTCAAGCAATCACAGCCTAAACTAAGCTCAACAGTAACAGAGATGAAGCCCCTCAGAGGTCATGTACACAGCAGAATAATGTAGATGGTCCATCACTGGGTCATGATTTGAACTGAAAAGAACTGCTGCTGAGAGATGCTGAGTTACTGGTTCACTGTCACAGAAAGAAGCAACCTGCATTTGTGTCACTTCCAGCCCATGCTGGAGGACAGAAGCAGCTTTGTCCAAAGCCACTGTGATAATCCTTTCAGAAAGTTCTCTACAAATCCCAAGCCACAGGACCCTCTCCAATTCTGTCGCACTCACCTGCAAGACCTGGTCAAACTCTGGCTTCATCTGCTTCAGATGCTTAAGGATGGGGAAGATTGTGAGCACAGCTGAATAGTCATGTCGGATGATGGCTTTGCGGGCAGCTGAGACAATGTTATCCCCCTCCATAATCAAGTTATCCAGTGACTCCTGCAATGAAGCCACAGGGTCAGAAGGAAGCAGCATGACTTGTGCAGGCAGCACAAGGGGCTCTACGCAGGATGCCCTAAGTTAAGGATGCCAATCCAGCTGACGGCTCATTTCTGGTAGCCTGTGAGTGATGCTGAGCACATGCTCTCCAGGGTCTGTGGAGGCGCCAGTTCCCTCAACAGGTCCTGAAGGACAACACAAGCAGTGGTAGTGCTCCTGGGCTCCCACAGCGGGTCGTGGAATCCACATCCTCACAATGAAGAGGAAGAGAAAAAGACCATGTGCATCCTTTACTAGAGAAGCCAAGCAGAGAGGCTCAACTGACCTGGATGAGAGAATCAAAGGTCTTCTTCTGGTGGTGCTCAGGGACGATGTCTGTCAGGAGCTGGTACTCGCTCTGGGCTAGTTTGACAAAGGCACTAACACAGTGAATGTACGCGTCGATCTCGATGTCAAAGACGTCGTCCCTCCCTGCAAGGGCAAGAGGCCTTTAAGAGAGACCAAACTCCACACTGAGCTTCAGCAGCTCTGCTCAAGGCCTTGGTTTGCACAAGGTTCTCCTGGAAAAGGTGGTTCTGGCTTTGCACCCATCCTTGTGCGAGAACTACAGTCATCATCTCACCAAACTGCCCCTGGGTTTGTGCATGGGAAGCTATGAATGTCTCCTGCAGGGTATGCAGAGTCATCTGCAGGGCAGGAAACAGGCACATCAGGCCACCAGCTCTTGCCAGCCTTATGGCAAAAGGCAAGTTTGGAGCTCTTCTGGGATACAGACTAAATTTAATCAAGGCTTGAACACACAGTACTTAGGAAGGTCTGAGGTGAATTATTCAACATCTCTGCTGGTATTTTTAGAGTTCTTTATCTCCATCCCTCATGCAGATGAAGAACTGCCATTCTGCATCACCATTTCTGGGAAATCAAAGCTGCCCTGGAAGGCAGCGTGTTCCCACAGGCAAAAACAACATAAAAACCAGGCAGATGAACATTTCAATCCCATGAAGCAGGAGTATCAGCACAGCTGGGTGAGCTATCTCACACAGAGCTGCATACAAATGCAAACAGTTGAGTCCTAGCATACAAATGTCTTCAAGATCCATCAAAGAACCTCAGTGGTAGGCATGAGAAGTGCTGGTACGATACAAGCTCATGCCAGCCACCAGCTGCATGTGTCATAAGGACAGCCACAAAGTGACACACACCATCCTGCATCACCCAGACCCCTGCAGGAACCACTACAAAACAGATTACATGGAGATGCCTCCTGCAAGCTATAGGTTCTACTGCTGTTTCCCTTCTCCCAGCAACATGTGCAACTTTTGATGGGCATGGAACCAATTCTTCCCTAGCCT